AGTAACCTACTCCGAGAATTCTCGACATTTCCACTTCGACAGAATAAGTAATGACAGGTATCGATCCAATAAAATTAACGGTCTCGGCGGATCAGGGTGAAGTTCCCAAGGCACGTACGTATAGCTGGCCAAGTCTAGTGGTCAAGTCGGAAAAGTGAACCAAGGCATTAAATGGTTGTACCAACCCATATCTTTCTAATTAATGAATTTGTACTATGTTGGGATTTTTCCTCTTATATAAAGGGGATCCTTGTGATTTTGTAAATATCTGTTGCTCCATACGAAATATACTAGGATATTCTCTCCGCTCTTTAACACATTCTCTTGGTTTCGTTATCTTATTTATTGCTCATGTTTATTTTGTTCATCATTATTGCTTAGTATTGGCCATAAATAGCCGCCTTTGATCTATTTATAACTGTTATTCACCATCGACTGCCTTCGATAGCTCCCAGCCAAGTAGACTCGACCTCGAGGCCCTCGAATAGACAAGCTTGAGGCCCCGATTGACAGCGATTCGGTTTGATTAACGCCTCATTCTTAAGCACTTATTTCGTTTCTAAGTCTTTCACATAGCATCAACTACCTAACAACTAGCATAAAAATAGATCACGTATTTTTAGAACCACTAAATTAAATTTAATTGTTATTACCATTTTCATTGTAAACAGTATAATTTACCATGATACCCATATTAATTGATGGATATTTTATTGGATTTGAGAAAATAATTTAAAATGAGTAATAAATATTGTGGGTATAATAGGAAAACAAAAATTTATCTTCGACTAAGAGCCTGTTTGGCCAAGCTTCTAGGAGGCCAAAAGTACCTTTGTTGGCCCAAAAAGTACTTTTTGAAAAATTTAAGGTGTTTGTCCAAAATAAAAAAAGTACTTCTTAGCAGCAACAGAAGCAGTTTTTCTGCTTCTGGGGAGAAGCTACAAATTCTAGCTTCTTCCAAAAAGCAGAAGCAGAAGTTGAAAGTTAATTTATTCAAGACAAAAATAACCTTACAATAAATTTATATTTTTCAAATTATCCCTCATTAATTTAATTTTTCTTTTTCTTTTCCTTTTCCTTTTTTTTCCTGCTATACATTTATTCTCTTTTTTATTTTAATCAAATTGTTATTCTCTTTCTCTTATTCCTAAGAGTAGATTTTAAATTTATATTGAATGATGTATTTTGACATATTTAAATTGTCATGTAAATAATAAGTAATACCAAACACTCAATATTATTGCTTTAGAATAACTATATTTTATATTAATTAGTATTTTTAATTTATATTTTTACTTATGTTTTATATTTTAATTGAATTCTTTTCTAATAAATGTTTAAATTTATTTTTCTTCTCTAAATAATACTAATCGCAAATTGAACCTTTACTGTCCTTTTTTCGTAATTTGATATTTAAAAGTGCTTTTTTAAAAGATTGGCCAAACACGATGAGCTTGTAAAACGCAATACTCAAACTAATCGGCCAAACACAAACTACTTATTTTGCAAAAGTACTTTTGAATAAAATTGCTTTTCAAAATAAGTAGTTTTTGGCAGTTTGGCCAAACAGACTCTAATTTTCATTACCAAAACTGTGATGTTATTTTAACACCACACTCAATATAGGATAACAATTTCCGATCTAGTTAATCTAGGGAAAAACAATCAAATGATAGAAATGCCCTTTACCAAAATCCTTTGAGAAGGTCATGTTAAAATTAAAAATAAAATTTTATCCAATTTATCTAATATAAAACTAAATACAAATTTTATGTTATGGGTGTGTTTGATATGGAGGCAAACGTTTTGGGATCGTTTTTTATTTTTTTCATATTTGGTTGGCATAAATATCTAAAAATTATTTTTCAATGAACTCATTTTTCTCCAATTATAGGAAAATGACTTCCCTAGTAAGAAGAAAAAAAATAATTTTGAAATTATCCAACTAATAATTTCAACCCTATGCACCCACCACCACCATTTACACCCACCCTGAGGCTCTCACAACCAAACTCACCAACATTCCCAGCCACAAAACCTCAATGGCCCCTCCCTCCATTGCGCTCGCATCCCCCCCAACCCGACGATCCCCAAACCTAAAAATCCCTAGCTTTGAACTCCAAACCCCTCCCCATGTTGTCCTCTACTCCACACCCACAATNTTACCTGCCTGAATCCCCCAACTACCCTCCCCTTCCCCTTCTCGTGCGCCCGCTTTGGACCCGACCCCTCGCTCGCACCCCACCACTTGGTCATGTACTTGGAAACCCCATATCTGCCAACAGAAATATTGGCCTACTTTCATGACCCTGACTGCGCAATCAGAGAGCGGAAAACTAATGCGTTCTACTTATTAAATAGGATTCTATAGCCAGTCCATGACCCCTGGATACCAAAGGCGTCCTTGGTTGATCTCGTAGTTCCTATGGAGATGATGGCGGTCGGGTCCATGGATTTGTCTTTTTTTTCTTTTGGCTGAATACATGCGGAGACACTTAAAGTTGGCACGATATTTCATTTAGACACCTGAACTTAAGGGTGTTCCTAATGAGCACGTACATTACATGAACTTTGTTCCAATCAGGCACTTATTGCTGAGTTGGTACATAGTTGGCACATAGAGTGAATTTCACCCAATATATGCGCGTAAAGAGCCCAAAAAATAGATTTCTTTTTTTTTTGGTCTTTTTTATTTCCTTCTTCTTCTTCTTCTTCTTTAATTTATGTCCACCACCATTTCCACCATTACCTCCTCCACTTTCACCATTTCCTTCTTCTTCTTTATCAGTACTCATGTCCAATTGAAAATTAAAGCAATTAATTTAAGCTTAAGCTCTCAAATTCAATCATCTTTCCGTTACAAAACTCTCGATTAATTTAAGCAATTAATTTAAGCTTAGCCTATAAGAATGTGTTGGCCATTGCTGTTGAGACCGATTATTCTTTCCCTCTGGCTGACAAAGTGAAAGAATACCTGGAGGATCCGAGCAAGTTTGTTGTTGTTGCTGCTGCACCTGTAGCAGCTGCTGGTTTTGGTGTTGTTCCTGCTGCTGCTAAGGAGGAGGAGAAGGATGGACCTACTGAGCAGTCGGATGATGACGCGGGCTTCAGTTTGTTTGATTAGCCTGTTGTTTATCTCCGTTATGTTTTGAAGTATCTGAACCATATGTTAATTTCAGTTATATTAAGTGTTACTTTGATGATTAAGTTTTGGACCATATGTTACTTGATCAGTTCGTTGATTCTTATATTAGTAGCACACTAGTTTATTATTTATTGCTTTTGAATATTATGGTTGTTTATTTTTGAATGTTGTTGTTTCTAGAACTGAAACCTTTTACACCTGAAACCAAATCCTCCACCACCGTCCTCTCTAACCCCATCGCCGAACCCTTCTTTTTCACCATTAATGAGTTCTTTAAAAAGCTTGAAGGTTTAAAATGGGTCAATTGATTTGATGAAAGTTTGTGAAATTAATGTTGGGGTTGCCTTCGGGTCGTCTTGGGGAATCTTTAGCTGAAGTCATAACAAATTTGGAAGAGTTTCTCTTAAAAGTTTGGATTAAAATCTTGGTTGGAACAAGAATACACATGAAGATAGTGAAGAACACCAAGAACACACATTAAATAGATTTAACATAGTTTTTCCTCTCTTTTGTAACTCAAAAAAATATATGTCCTCATTTTATTCGACATTTGCCACATCAGCAGCGAGTGTATTGCACACACTTTGTAAATTTCACTAATTGTCAAAAGAGTGTCTGATTGAAACAAAGTTCATGTAATGTACGTGCTCATTAGGAACAACCCTAAGTTCAAGTGTCTAAATGAAAAATCGTGTCAACTTTAAGTGTCTCCGCATGTATTCAGCCTTTTCTTTTTCTGCATTTCGCTCAAAGGGGTGAAGGGAGATAGTGAATCAAGCTATTCACAAGGGCCAACTTATCCCCCCCCCCCCCCCCCCCCGTCCCCACTTTGAAGAACTTTCTTATCCTAAAATAAAGAAAAATGATTTTGGTAGAATATTCCTTTCAAAAGTTCCTAATGTCCAAAACTTTGAAGGAATTGGCCCAAATGACCACATTATTGTAAACCCCATTTTCCTAAGGTTTAGTTTCTATTTAATAATTCAAACTTATTTATCAAAGTTCTTTAAAATTATTTATTTACCCGTTATAACTGTGTATTGTTTATAATTTATATACATTTTCGATTAGAATACTCCCCCCCCCCCCCCCATAATTAAGGAATTCAATTACGCTATTTTCCCCCTCTTCTCCCCTCTCCCTCTTCTTCTGCCGCCTTCCTCTTCTTTTTAATTTACTGTCAATTTATACCACATATTGCTGCCAACAATTTGACCCGCTCAAAAGTAACTTGAGATGAGATGAGTTGGATCAAGTTGGGCTAAAATTTAGGTTATATCTCAATCCATCCAACTTTTACTAAGCTTTAATTAATGTGTATAATTTTCTTATGAATTCTTTGGTTATCAAATGAGATTTTTTTTTCTTATGTTATGGTCATATATAAAATACAAACACAAAAAAGTTATTTTAAAGATATTTTACCAAAGTTATTCATGGATCAATTTGGCCTAAAAATCAACCCAATTTTAGATAGGCTGAAATGGTTGGATCAAGATGTGCTTAGTTCAACAAATGAGGGGGTCAATGACCAGCCCAACCTTAGACGGGTTGGGCGGGACAAATGAGTTTGGGCTCAAATTGCCACCGAGTAAGTCCGGATTCATGCCATTGAAGATTAAGGAATGGTTTTGATGGAAGGGGCAAAAGAGAACAAAGCTGGGTCATAGACCTCCATTAAGGTTAGGTTTTTTTACTAACTTTGCTAATGGCATAGGCGTTTTTGGTCCGAAAGTATAACCGGAGTTAAATGTATACGATTTTTGAGAGTAGAGGGGCAAATCTGCCCCTTTTCCCAATAAAACAAGATATATCATCACAGATCATGCATAAGTAACTTTCTGACTACTTATGTTCAATATCTGTCTTTGTATGTTGTTCCATAAACGATCAGGTAAGGTATTGTTCGTACAACCGTGTCAATTGGTATGGCAAAGTTAACCCCTGACGACATACCCGAGCCTGCATCATCATTGGAAACGAAAAGTAGTTAGTCATTCACTCAGATTTCATCTTTTTCTGATCACTAAGTTTCTGCATATATATAAGATATTCATGAGGATAGAGGTAAGGCCATCTCCAACCTTACCTCATTTTCCCATAATGGGGGCAATTTTTAGGGTAATGAAGCTCCAACTCTCCCCCATTTTTGCCCTCAAAATGGGGTATGAATAGTGTTCCCTCAAATATGGGGTACACTATTCATCCCCATTACTATTCATGCATATTTTATTATTATTTTATTATTTAACTCTTTTAATTTATCTCTTTATATATACCTAATTAAGTTTATGTAATATCTTTATAATATTAATTTTACATCTTAACTTTGACATATAATTATGATAAATTAATTTTCGTGCATTTATTATTTTGTATCGCAATGATTTCACTTTTATTTGAATTATTAGTTAATCTATAATAATTGCTTACAAATTATATTATTTAAAATTTTATGGAATTGTTTTAATGGATTACAAATTAATGAAAATAAAAGATGGAATTTGTTTAATGGAAATTAAAAAATAAAATTGAAATGAAAGATAATAGTATAATATAGAAGAGAGAAGAATATAAAAAAGAATATTCTCTTTTGGGGAAAAAAATGAGGGAATGGTTGGAGTAAGTTGTCTCCAAAATGGGAAAATCCCCATTATGAGGATAAAAAATGGGATAAAGGTTGGAGATGCCCTTAAATTCCAACGAGGCAGCAAGAAAAGTAGCAGTTCAGTTTAACACCAAGTAACTGAAATGACTATAAAAGGCAGTCCGGTGCACTAAGCTCTCGCTATGGCTGGGATTCAAGGAAGGGTCGGACCACAAGGTCTATGGTACACAGCCTTGCCTTGCATTTTTGCAAGAGACTGTTTCCACGGCTTGAACCCGTGATCTCCTGATCACATGGCAGCAACTTTACCAGTTACGCCAAGGCTCCCCTTAACTGAAATGACTATAAGATGATCAAATATTTGTTACAGTTTTACAGATTCACCGGTCCAACTCTAAGCATCAAATAAGTTTGAACTACAATTTCTTTCAGATAACGCGATTTTGCAGTATTCTGTATATGACATAAGGTTCTTTAGTAAAATCACAAGATGATGTAACCTCTAGTGTAATCAAGATTCAATAGAAAATATACTAACCATATTCTAGACATGTGTACTAAGTAGGATTCCACATACTTCATCAAAGGCCAGCAGCTAAAAAGGGGACTTCTATAGTAATAGGCTCTAACATTGCTATTACGCTTTACCAGGGGACTTCATATTGTGTTAGGTCTAATTTAGTCCGACTTTGTAACCTAGCTAAAAACCAAGCTATAATCAAATCCCTTTAGGATTTAATCTTTGTTTGATAAAAGTTCGATTTTGATCAAGATTTTACAATTTATTAGATTTTGATCGAGAAGGAAAGCCTAGTGTAACTGGTAAAGTTGATGTCATGTGACCAAGAGGTCACTGGTTCGAGCTGTAGAAACAGCCTCTGGCAAAAAAGCAATGGTAAGGCTGTGTATAATAGATTCTTGTGGTCTAGCTCTTCTCCGGATTCCGCCCATAGCGGGGGCTTAGTACACTGGATGATATTCGGGAGAAGGTGCACGTGGCTCCCATTGATGACAAGATACGGAAAGCGAGACTCAGATGGTTCGGGCATGTACAGAGAAGAAACCCAGATGCTCCAGTAAGGAGGTGTGGGCGGCTGGTTGTGGAGGGCACGAGAAGAGGTAGAGGACAGCCTAAGAAGTATTGGGGAGAAGTGATCAGGCAGAATATGGTGAGGCTTTAGATTTCCGAGGACATGACACTTGATAAGAAGTTGTCTCGGTCGCGTATTGTGGTTGTAGGCCAGGAGGTAGTTGAGTCTTCCGTTACTTTGTACCGTTGTGAGCCTAGTCTGGTAAGGCTTTTGTCTAAAATAGCTAGGGGCATTGTCGTGTCTTGATATTTTCTCTTTTCGGTGCAGGACCTATTTATTAGCCATCATTTCTGCCTTGTATTTTTCTTCTGCATTTTATGTTCTTATTTTTCCTATGATCTCTATGGTGAAACTAATATTCTCTCCTTTTGTTTTTCTTATTATCTTGAGCCGAGAGTCTTTCGGAAACGGCCTCTCTACTCCTTCGGGGTAGGGCTAAGGTCTGCGTACATACTACCCTCCTCAGACCCCACTTGTGGAATTTTACTGGGTTGTTATTGTTGTTGTTGATCAAGATTTTACTATGGCAAATATTGTTGAACTTCTCTGAAATTCTCATGTAATATATTATATATTGCTTATTATAATTAAAACACTGTAACCATGATTTGTAATTTTGTATGATACGTGAAAATGAGTATAAAGCAAGAAAAATCAATTTTACATAAACAAAGATCTTTTTCAGGAGCAAATTTTGTCCAAGTCCCTCCATGGGAAACCAACTTTGATCTGGCACATTTCTGATCAAATATGATCTAAGAAGAAATGAGTTAGAATCCTACCAAACTACGACTATAAAATTTGATCACCTAGCAATGGGCAAATCCAGATAAGCGAAATCACTAGCAGTCACTACGAGTAAGCTTTGAAGTTTCTAACAATCTCTTTCCTAATTCAGCTTTATTCTTGACTAAACTCTTAGAAAGGAATAATGTCTAGAATGTACATCTTTTACACCTTTTGTCAATTATTCTTTTACACAACAACAACAACCCAGTATAATCTCACTAGTGGGGTCTAGGGAGGGTAGTGTGTACGCAGACCTTACCCCTACCCTGGGTAGAGAGGCTGTTTCCAAATAGACCCTCGACATCTTTCCCTCCAAGAACTCCCTACCTTGCTCTTGGGTGACTCGAACTCACAACCTCTTGGTTGGAAGTGGAGGTTACTCACCATCAAACCCCCCTTGTCTATGAAAGAGTATTCGACGAAGGTACAAATTCTGTCATGCTTCTAGGATAATAAAAATATTAATACCAATAATAAGCAGTAATATTAGTTGCACATAAAGTTTGACATGAGTATCTAAAGGCAATGGATAAAAACTGCTGCAATTGTTCTCTCCAAAGCTATGTTCAGCAGTTTTAGGGTAGAGGGCAAAGCCAATACATTTTTCCGCTGGGGTGGGGGCGAGGCTTCAATGTCAGTAGTCTCACTCAATATGAGTAGGGACTCGGGAGGTTTTATTCAGGGTTCTTCAGTAGCTAATATTACTAGAAATAATGAAAGTAATGAATTTCATACCTCTGCGGGTGAAGGTTGCTGTATTTACACCAATTACATGACCAGATGAATCAATCAACGGTCCACCTGAATTCCCTGCATAAGTTGGTCAAAACTAAAGCTTCCCCTAGATGCATAATCTGATGAACAATGAGTTTTAGACAAGGAAAAGTAATCTATTTTGACATCTTCAGCGGTTAGAAATTGAACTTTATCCGCTAAATCAACCCAGCAATCTGCCCCGACCTTATGCTCAAGTAGACCTCTTTTTGCCCTCTAAACAATGTCTTACGTCCTATTCAAACAGTGCAGTGTGCAGAGGTGATTCACCAAACTTTTCTCGCGACCAGTAAATGTCTTATGTAGGAAAAATGGTTACCAGCATTAATAGCAGCATCTGTTTGAATAGCTCCTTTAATGGCGGCTCCATTTGGTGCAGGTATTTCCCTGCCTTAATCCACTAACTACCTGTAAATATTCGAAATAATCAGATAAACTACAACAATATCCGTTTCCCCCATGATTAAGTTTCTTTTCTTTTTTTCCCTTTCCCTTTGCACGGAGAAACACGAGCAAATCAGTTTAAAAGATTTATCAGTTTCAAGATTTTGCTTCCCTTTTGGCCAGGCGTAAACTGACATTCTTGAGAGTTGATAGTACATAATATTATGAGTTGAACAAAATATTTCCCTTCTTTATATCAGATGACGTTGCATAAAGCAAAAGCAGTGAGCTTACCTTTTATAGAAATGGAAACATTTTGCATCCTAAGAGGAAATCAAGATTACAAGTTCTATACTGAGTAGGTTTAGCAAAAATGCATGAAAAGTAAATGCTAGAAGGATTTTCCTCGGGGAATAAAACCATAAAAATGAGTTTCTTCATAGAAATATTTCTGAACTATGAATAAACTGTAGATAAGTATTACCCCAGTTGTCAGAGTGTTTTCAAATCCATAGGGATTTCCAATGGCGAAGCAACTTTGACCTACACGTAAGCCACGGGAGGCACCAACAGAGATTGGTTTTACTTCATCACCTTCAACATCAACCTGCAGTTGAATAAGAGAAAAACTAATTACACCGAGGGGACTTTTCAACCAATCAGCTTGTATAGGTATCGAGAGCTGTTTGACAGCTTTATTTTGCACATATTTTTTTCATGCTTAGTATGCATTCTCCTTCTAACATTTCATTTTCGCTAGATCTAATCTAAGAGAAGTGTTCTCACTTCTCCCTATAAAATTGCTTTTTTGCTAAAAGAGAGAAGCAATAACAGATAACAGTTGAGAAGTTACAGGGACGGGTGTTAGAATTGTAAGAGCTTGTATACAAATAATGTCATACAAAATAGAATGGGAGGAGCTAGATAATGTCATATATGTCATATTTTTGTCCAGTTAATCTATCAAAAATCTTTAGATGGAGAAATTTGGACAACTAAAATTGTTAGTATATAGCTGACCAGTAATGAGAATAAAAGTGCAGCCCGGTGCACGAAGCATCCCGCGTTATCACGCAAGGTCCGGGAAAGAGCTACACCCCAAGGGGGTGTGATGTAGGCAGCCTATCATGATGCAAGCATCAATGGCTGATTCCACGGCTCGAACCCGTGACCTATAGGTTACACGGAGATAACTTAATCGTTGCTCCAAGGCTCCATAGAGAATAAAGTAGTAAAACAATGGCCATTGGCAACCATATCAAGTAATAGATTGATTCAACACCTTGAGAACAGCCAGATCATATGCTGGATCAACACCTACAATCTTCGCTTCCTTAGCTATGCTTTCTCCTTTAGCATTTACTAAAGAAACCTGAAAAGGAAAACTTTTCAAAATTAGAATGACCTGAAATGGAGCAGTCCTGTTGAATATCCAGATAAGAAAGACCAAAAGAATAACCACCAGGAATGCAGAAAACCTTACAACGCTGCAGTCCACTTTGATCAGTAGATAATTTAGCAATGACATGGTAATTGGTAACCTGCGATAACACTCGTGCGCCCTGAAACTGGTCAAACAGATCATCACTACGAGGCAAAGGATAACAGTTCTTCACTGTAACGTTGTTCAACTGGCGATAATCAATACACAGACGCATAGAACCATCATTTTTCTTCACAAACAAGACAGGAGCACCCCAAGGTGATACACTGGGCCGAATAAAACCCTTATCAAGCAATTCCTGTAACTGATCCTTCAACTTAGGAGGAGCCATACGATACGAAGGAATAGAAATGGGCTGAGTGCCCGACAAAAGATCAATGCCAAAATCAATATATCTATCAGGTAGCATGCCTGGAAGGTCAGCTGGAAACATATCGGGAAAATCCCGTACTACTGGAACTGAATCAACTAAAGGGGTATCAATACTGACATCTCTCACATAAGCTAAATACTCGTCACACCCCTTCTCAACCATACGCTGAGCTTTAAGAAAAGAAATAACTCTACTGGGAGTGTGATCTAAATTACCCTTCCACTCAGCAAGTGGTACACCTGGCATAGCCAGCGTCACACTTTTGGCGTGACAATCAAGAATAGCATAATGGAGTGACAACCAGTCCATGCCCAAGATAATATCAAATTCTACCATGCTGAGCAACAATAAACCATCTCTGGTCTCAAAACCACTAATAGCAACCAAACACGACTGATAGATGTGGTCCACAACAAGAGAATATCCCATAGGAGTAGAAACATAAATAGTGGAACTCAAAGAATCCCGAGATATACCCAAATGCGGAGCAAAATAAGAAGACACATAAGAATAAGTGGAGTCTCGATCGAATAGAACTGATGCATCTCTGTGACAAACCAATATAATACCTGTGATGATAGAATCGGAGGCAACAGCCTCGGTACGGGCATGAAGGGCATAATATCGGTACGGGCATGCGGAGCAAAATTCCATCAAAAAATCACCTTTAAATCCCTACCATGGTCATGTATTTAAATTGGGAATTTATGGCTTCCAATCACCATACCATAAGTTGTAATACTTGATTCATACTCATAATTCCATAATAACTCCATATATGTAAGTCTAAGGGTAGAAGTTTACCTCTTGTAGACCAAATCTTGAAAGACAACTTTGGGGTGTTCTTGAGATTTTGAAGAAATCCTATGAAATCCAATCAAAATCATGTTGTAACTAGTGATTGAGAAGTGAAATCACCATGAAAACACACTTAAAAACTCACCTTAGGTGTGCAATTGGATGCCTTGGCCGGATTGGGGATGGAGAGGATGCCCTAGTCTTGAAAAATAACTTAAATCCTCTAATTTCCTGTCCTTAGGTGTATTTAGAGGTCTTCCACTAGCGCACCCACGCTAAGGCCGCGCTAACGAGGCAGAATACTTCGCAATATGCGCGGTCGCGCTAATGGCCGCGCTAAGGTCATGCTAATGATACATTCCCAGTAAAATGGTTGTAACTTTCTGTATACACCTCTAAATGACGAACGGTTTGATGCGTTGGAAACTAGACTCAAAAGTATTTAATTTGATAGGTTGTTCATCACACAAATCCTTATATAACTAGAGATATTATTGTGAGGTCTTGTGCGCACTCATTTACAACTTTAGTCTATTATGAAATTCTCTAACTTGGCTTAGACTTAGGCCTCTCCTTAGACCCCAATTCACTTATAATATGACTTATACGCTTATTAACATATCCAATTGATATCCATTATATCATGAATCCTCATTTGCACACAAAATAAAATAATTAGCCTACCTTGGCACCACGAAATCTTAAATAACTTGGCAAAATTTTCCGGGGCTTTACAGAGTGGAAGTGGGAGCAGATCACTATGGATTTCGTTGTTGGACTCCCACAGACTCGGAGGAAGTTCGATGCAGTGTGGGTTATTGTTGATAGTCTGACCAAGTCAGCGCATTTCATTCCTATGACAGTCTTCTATTTTTCTGAGAGGTTAGCTGAGATCTATATCTGGGAGATTGTTCGTCTTTATGGTGTGCCCGAGTCTATCATTTCGGACCAAGGTACACAATTTACCTCACTTTTCTAGAGAGCAGTTCAGCGAGAGTTGGGCAAGCAGGTTGAGTTGAGCACAGCATTTCATCCTCAGACGGACAGGCAGTCCGAGCGGACCATTTAGATTTTGGAGGATATGCTCCGAGCTTGTCTCATTGACTTTGGAGGTTCGTGGGATTAGTTTTTGCCTTTAGCAGAGTTTGACTACAACAAAAGCTACCAGTCGAGTATCTAGATGGCTCCTTATGAGGCTTTATATGTAGGATAGTTTAGTACAGCTCAGTCCAGGCAAAAGAGTTATGCAGACCGCAAGGTTCATGATTTGGCATTCATGGTCGGTAAGCGGGTACTGCTTCGAGTGTCGCCTATGAAAGGCGTGATGACATTTGGGAAGAAGGGCAAGCTTAGCCCTAGGTTCATTGGCCCGTTTGAGATTCTTGATCGAATGGGAGAAGTGGCTTATAGACTAGCGTTGCCGCCGAGATTATCAGTCATGCATCCAGTGTTTTATGTGACCATGCTTCGGAAATATCACGGCGATCCATCCCACGTGTTAGATTTCAGCACTATCCAGTTGGACAAGGACTTGTCTTATAAGGAGGAGCCGATGGCTATTCTAGACCGGCAGGTTCGTCAGTTGAGATCGAAGAGTTTTCCTTCTGTTCATGTTCAGTGGAGAGGTCAGCCTCCTGAGGCATCGACTGGGAGTACGAGTCCGATATGCAGAGCAGTTATCCCCATCTTTTCCCCGACTCAGGTACTTCCTTCTTCTGTTCATTCGAGGATGAACAATTGTTTTAGAGGTGGAGATTTTACTTGTTTTAAAATGAAATTCTACGTTTCGAGGCCTTAAAAACCTCTTTTAGCATCACCTCGTTTTGTGTGCGCCGTCCGGACACATAGCCAGAAAGCCTAAATCTGAAAATCTGTGAAATTTTTTACTATAAAATGAATTAATTTGACTTCGGTCAACGTTTTGGGTAAACAGATACGGACCCATGATTGGACGGTCTGTAGGAAAATATGGGACTTGGGCGTATGCCCGGAATCGAATTCCGAGGTCCCAAGCCCGAGAAATGAATTTTTGAAGAAAAATTGTTTTTTGAAATTGTTCATAAGGTTGGAAATGAATTTTGGTTAGAACTTGTTGGTATCGGGCTCGTATTTTGATTTTGGCGCCCGGTACAAGTCTTATATATGATTTAAGATAATTCGGTGAAGTTTGGTAAGAAATGGAATCCGTTTGACTTGATTTGAACCTTAAATGCAAAATTTGATGTTTAAAGAAGTTTTGAGAAATTTCTTTAAATGATTTCTTTAAATTTCTTTATATGATTTAAGATAATTCGGTGAAGTTTGGTAAGAAACGGAATCCGTTTGACGTGATTCGGATCTTAAATGCAAAATTTGATGTTTAAAGAAGTTTTGAGAAATTTCCTTGATCTTGAGGTTTAATTCGATGTTCATGATGTTATTTTGGTGATTTTATTACACGAATAAGTCCGTAGGATAGTTTTGAGGTTGTGTGTATATTTGGGTTGGAGCCCCAAGGGTTGAGGTGAGTTTTGGATAGGCCACAGGGTGCATTTTGAACTTAGAAAATTGCAGGTTTTCGAGCTATGCATAGCAAGCTTGCAGGCTTTGCATTTGCGAAACCTAGCTCGCAAATGTGATGTCGCAAATGCGAGCGGCTTGTCGGAATTGCGAAAGAAGCCCAGGCCAGCTCCCTCTCGCAAATGTGAGGTTATCCTCGCAAATGCGAAGTTTCTCATTTGGCCAGTGATCGCGAATGCGATGCTGTTGTCGCAATTCCCAAGTCGCAAATGTGACATTATTTTCACAAATGCGAAAGTCCAGCATTTATAAAGGTTCGCAAATGCGAGCCCTGTCTCGCATTTCCCAGCTTAGCAGAGGTCGGGGTTCGCAATTGCGAACCCCTGTTCCCATTTCCCAGACCAGTGACCTGCAACTTTATACTTAGACGATTTTAAACCCATTTTTCATATCCTCTCAAAACATAAACACACCAGGGCAATTTTTCAAAGGCTTCTTCTTCTCCAAATCAATTGTAAGTCATTTTTAACTAGTTTCTTCAATCATTAACATCTTTTAACATGATTTCAACTCAAAATCAATGATTTTCATGGGGAATTGGGTGTTTTGGGTAGAACCTAGGTTTTTCAAAAATTGGGGATTTGGACCTCGATTTGAGGTCCGATTTAAAAAAATCATATATTTGGGTTCGTGGGGCAATGGGTAATCGGGTTCTGGTTCGAGCTTCAGGTTTTGACCATGTGGGCTCGGGGGCGATTTTTGACGTTTTGGGTAAAACTTTGGAAAACTCATTTTCATGCATTGGGGTTGATTCATTTAGCGTTTATTGATGTAATTAAGTAACTTGTGGCTAGATTCGAGCGAATTGGTGGTGGAATCAAGGAGTAAAGCTATAATTGAAATGTGAATTGTATTTGTAGCATCGAGGTAAGTGTTTGGTCTAACCTTAGCTTGAGGGATTAGGAGTGGTGTCTATTTGCTACGTGTTAATTGTGGAGACCGACGTATAGGCATGGTCACGAGTATCTATACGTCGGTGTCAAGCATGACCGTGAGTCTTGTGTTATAAATTATTATGACTCCGTTGTGGTTTATTGTGCCTCACATGTTATTATTATCATTGTTCCCTTGCCAGGATTCCTTGTGATTATTGTTGGCTTGTAAATGGGAGCGAGTGGTACACCTACCACAAGATATAATGAAATAGGAGTGGGTAGTACACCTACCACAAGATATAATGAAATGGGAGCAGGTGGTACACCTACCGCAAGATATAATGAAATAGGAGCGGCTGGTACGCCTACCACAAGATAAATGAAATGGGAGCAGGTGGTACGCCTATCACGAGAAAAGTGAAATGGGAGCGGGTGCTACGCCTGCCACGAGATAA